CTATCAGAATTTCATCTTAATTAGCCATATTAATATTAGCAACTGCATTAAATTGCATCATTGCTCAGTTTGGGCATCTGAAAAAACGGTATATAAACATGTTATAAACGGTATAACATGTTATTTGGCCTGTCAGTCATTTTATCAGTTAATCAGTCAATTCCATGCATAACAGCGCACAAACACGCATATGCAAAGCAGATGGCAGCCATCTGTGTCTCACCGTTCAAAACTTCCTCTAACATTCAGAATAATTTGGCCAACAAATCATGAGGGTACGCATTTTGTCAGCACAAATATGGGTAAGCTGACTCATGTCTTTGGAATGATGTGTGCAAGTGTGGGAAATTTACTGATGCAATAACCATAATCTACACAGCGAGTTCAGAAGAATTTGATCATAAGACAACTTACTGAAACATGCGTAAAATCAATTCTGCTTAACTTGGGACAAGAGGACAAGAACGAGGAAAATAAATTAAAATTAAAATAAAGCATTTTAACTAGCAAACTGAAAGGTCTCATTTGATAAAGAAGATGCGCACAGTACTTTAACGTTAACCAGTTTCATCATTATCATTACAAGCACCATTATCTTGGGCTTACACAAAGGGGTGTGGTCACACAGACTACATACTTGAGATCTAAATCGAAATTGCTTGAAAGTCTCATCTCAAAACTCTCTCATCCCAATTGGACGCATACCAACTAAACTGTGTTCTTGACTGCACAACATACTTAGTTGACCATTACACAGTCAGGCTTAAAGGGGTCATATGATGCGATTTCAATTTTTCCTTTCTCTTTGAAGTGTTACAAGCTCTTGGTGCATAAAGAAGATCTGTAAAGTTGCAAAGACTAAAGTCTCAAATCCAAAGAGATATCCTTTATATATTTAAGAGTCAACCACACCTACCTAAAACGGCTCGTTCTAACACGCCCCCACATGTCTACGTCACAATGTGGGAAGATTTGCATAACGCCGCCCAAATGTGCACGCCAAGAAAGAAGGCGTAACTTGTACTCTCGCTGTAGTTTTGTTGCTGCCACCATTGTCATGAAGGCGCTGTGTTTCGTTGTGAAAGCGAAACTACTTTGTTTGGCCTTCCAAAAGAGGACGATATCCGCTTCGTCATGCCTTTTTCAATGACTACAAGCATTTCACACAACTGTTTCCAGCACTTTCAAGCTCCTAAATGATCCAATTTGAATGTTATTTTCAGTGGGATAACCAGAATATACTGTGGTAAACAAACACTTATGTAAAATTAAAAAAATACGTCAAATTAACACTGTAGATGGCAGCAGAGGAGCACTTATTGGCTTATTAGTCATTCATTTATACTTTTTCCTTTATATTTTGAAATGATAAAATCACTATTATAAAATATCAAATCATCAAGAAATCAGATTTTGTCAGTTTCGCTCTTTTCTGTTTATGAAGTAAAAAAAACATCACAGAGTGCTTTGAAAAACAAACTTTTCTTCAATTTGCGACTAAATCACACATAATCACTGAAGTTGTTGGTCAGTTTCATATTAGACTACAGAATAATAATGGTACAATTAATAAGAGTACACTATATATCTTTTCTACATAAACATTTGATTTAGCATGTTACAGTTGTTAATAAAATACATTTTGTAAGCTTCCCAACTCAAGCTTTTCTGTCAAATATGTATAAACGAGAAATGAACAATTAGTAACTGCATTTATTAATGCAAAACAATAGTAATTTTATCATATCATATATTTGTCATATCTCTTTGAATTTAAAAGAATACTGCACATTGTAATCTCTATGAGTTAAGTCTATTTATTATCAAAACATTGGTCAGTAATACAGTTAAAATGGGGAAAATGTGTGAATGATTGCATTGCAGGCTGATTCAAGGTGTGCCCCTAAATTTTCTGCTTGTGCTCCTAAAAATGTTCAGTCAGGGGCTACAGTGCTCCTAGAAAAAATAGAGAGCGAATTATATATACCATTGAAACACTAAATATAACGCTAGAAGTTTGTAAGTAGTTTGCTATAGAATTAATAGCGATCTCATTGATTGACGTTATACGCTATCAGAATTTCATCTTAATTAGCCATATTAATATTAGCAACTGCATTAAATTGCATCATTGCTCAGTTTGGGCATCTGAAAAAACGGTATATAAACATGTTATAAACGGTATAACATGTTATTTGGCCTGTCAGTCATTTTATCAGTTAATCAGTCAATTCCATGCATAACAGCGCACAAACACGCATATGCAAAGCAGATGGCAGCCATCTGTGTCTCACCGTTCAAAACTTCCTCTAACATTCAGAATAATTTGGCCAACAAATCATGAGGGTACGCATTTTGTCAGCACAAATATGGGTAAGCTGACTCATGTCTTTGGAATGATGTGTGCAAGTGTGGGAAATTTACTGATGCAATAACCATAATCTACACAGCGAGTTCAGAAGAATTTGATCATAAGACAACTTACTGAAACATGCGTAAAATCAATTCTGCTTAACTTGGGACAAGAGGACAAGAACGAGGAAAATAAATTAAAATTAAAATAAAGCATTTTAACTAGCAAACTGAAAGGTCTCATTTGATAAAGAAGATGCGCACAGTACTTTAACGTTAACCAGTTTCATCATTATCATTACAAGCACCATTATCTTGGGCTTACACAAAGGGGTGTGGTCACACAGACTACATACTTGAGATCTAAATCGAAATTGCTTGAAAGTCTCATCTCAAAACTCTCTCATCCCAATTGGACGCATACCAACTAAACTGTGTTCTTGACTGCACAACATACTTAGTTGACCATTACACAGTCAGGCTTAAAGGGGTCATATGATGCGATTTCAATTTTTCCTTTCTCTTTGAAGTGTTACAAGCTCTTGGTGCATAAAGAAGATCTGTAAAGTTGCAAAGACTAAAGTCTCAAATCCAAAGAGATATCCTTTATATATTTAAGAGTCAACCACACCTACCTAAAACGGCTCGTTCTAACACGCCCCCACATGTCTACGTCACAATGTGGGAAGATTTGCATAACGCCGCCCAAATGTGCACGCCAAGAAAGAAGGCGTAACTTGTACTCTCGCTGTAGTTTTGTTGCTGCCACCATTGTCATGAAGGCGCTGTGTTTCGTTGTGAAAGCGAAACTACTTTGTACACTGTTCCAGAACAGTTCAACCCAAATATTCATTTGTGTGCAGCACATTTTATGGAGGACTGTTTCCTGATCCTGGTAGAGTAGACTACAATGCTGGCTGTTCTGACTCTCAGACTGTAAGTACGTTTTTTATATTTAAAGGATTTGCCACTGACAATTCAAACGCGAGTTTTGAGCAGTGTAGAGTAGCGCTTGTAGTTTGTAATTTCTCCGATCACAAATGCAGACATGGTTTTATGTTTACACGGCGAGATGCAACGCGTAAAAAGACAGTATAAGTCATTATAATCCGTAATTATGTCCCCACTGGATGCAAAAAAATGTTTATGAGTTTTAATGTTTTTGTCTCGTCGCTCAGGCCTGACAGGGCGTCACAATATGGTAAGGAGCGTAACATTTCCGCCACACGCTTGAGGTATTCGGCCAATCACATATCGCATTGGATAGCTGGCCAATCACAGCACACCTCGCTTTTCAGACCAATGAGCTTTGTAAAAATTAACGTGTTTCAGAAAGGCGGGGCATAGAGGAGAAACAATAATGTACAGTATGTGGAAAATAATGTGTTTTTTTAACCTTAAACCGCATAAACACATTTCATTACACCAAATACACAAAATAATGTTCTTTTTAGCAACATCATACGACCCCTTTAAAATTTAGGTCAATGCCAAAAAGAAAAATTAAAGGGATAGTTCACCAAAAACGGAATAATCTGTCATCATCCACATTTTGTTCCAAACCTGTATTCATTCTTATTAAGACAACACAAAAGAACGGAGATGTTAGGCAGAATGTTAACAACTGCCAGCTTCAGTTACACCTTTCAATGAATTTGATTTCCATACAATGAAAGTGAACTGTTAGGCACAATGACAGCTTCAGTCACATCTCCTTTTGTGTTCCACTGAAGAAAGAAAGTTATATGGGTTTGATAAACATGAGGGTGTGCTGAATGCTTTGCTAAATCAAAATCAAAACAAAGCTGAACAGTTACACTGTCATGGAAATATTTTGCAAGCCATCAAGTTTTACAAAGTTATACCTGGACGCATTATTAACTAACGTGAGCTTGGCTACACTATGATCTATACTATTAGCACTCGTTTTAATCGCATTAAGAGTGTATTTAAGCTTCAGTAAGAACAGATCAGTGTGTCCGAGCGTGTGATGTCTGGTCAGGCCAGCATTGGCTGCTCACCTTCAGTCTGATCTCATATGTTGTGAACCTGTTCCGAGCGACGCCAACCGTCTCGGGGTTGGAAACATCAATCTCTAGAAAGTTACTCGGTGGCCCATACGCATCGCTCAGGTTTTGTGGTTTAGTATACAGCCTTCTCGTGTCTGCTATGGCCTCAGCCATGGCTTTCCGCTACAGGTTTGAGCAAACAAGCAGCTATCGATTGCACTTCCGATCAGCTGAGGAACAGCTGACATGTGACATACCAATACGGTCACGTGGTAATATCCCTGGGCTTTGATTGGATAAAAGCTGTCATAGCGAGTAGAGTTTTTGGTGGACATCTGTAATGTTCAACTTTTATAGGTTATAAATTCCGAACCTTTTGTAGAGTAACATTTGTCATTTATTCAAGCTCCATTCTTGCATTCCTCCAAGTGCAATCTGCAGTGTAATTAGATAAGTTCTGTCAAAGCAAGAACAGTGCACTTTTTGCAAATCTGTATTGTTAAAAATGATAGTTTCTCAATTATTGTTTAGAACCGCCTGCAGAATAAAATCTCGCATTTATTATCGAATAAGCTAAGATTTGGATTTAGCCTCCGTTTATATTTATAAAAACGAATTTCTTATGTATTGCATATATGTTTGTGACATATAAACGTGAAAGTGCAACATGCAGAGCAGTGTCTGTTCTCCATAAAGGGATATATAAGGTGTCAGTGTACAGAGCTCAATAAAGTTATTAGGTTTTGAATCAACATGGCGGCATACAGGTTGCGGTGGACAACGAGATGTCTTTTAAGACTTACATTCAAAGAGACAAGTTTGTGGAGAGGAGTTTGGTGTGGACTGTTTAAGGCCGTTAGAGGTGAGCATGAATATTCTCCTGTCGTGGTCAGTGCTGAAAGCACGTGATTACTGCGGGAAATCATTTACGTCATAGTGCTTTATATTCATCTTTATCACACACACACATATTTATTTATTGAAAAATGATGGTAGTTACTATGCTGGAGTATGAAGAATTTATGACTTTGTATAGTCTTCCTCTGCCAGCTAGATCTTTCAATTCTGTCATCAAAAGTTTGTCTCCAAGTTATGTTCATTTATTTAAAGCATACCTTTGCTTTAATGAGAGAAAAACAATTATGCTCAAACTTTTATTGGATGGAGTTTGTCTTCTTGATAAAAAAAAAAAAGGTAACAGTAAAGCGATTGTTACATTATTCAGTATATACTAGATGTAAATTTTTGTGGACCAATTTTTTTAATAGTACTCATCGGAAATTTTGCATTTCTAATAAAATAAGAGAGGTACATTTGAAGATTTCTCATAATGTCTATCTTATGTGTATTCTATCTTAGCATTTATTTAAAGCATACCTTTGCGTTAATGAGAGAAAAACAATTATGCTCAAACTTTTATTGGATGGAGTTTGTCTTCTTGATAAAAAAAAAAAAGGTAACAGTAAAGCGATTGTTACATTATTCAGTATATACTAGATGTAAATTTTTGTGGACCAATTTTTTTAATAGTACTCATCGGAAATTTTGCATTTCTAATAAAATAAGAGAGGTACATTTGAAGATTTCTCATAATGTCTATCTTATGTGTATTCTATCTTATGTGTAATCAAGTTAAATCTCTTTGGGAGAACTTAAGCTGAAAGGTACATTTCTGCCAGTGACCATGCTATTGATCTTGTTGTTGTTGTTATTTTTGTTACATTGCAAAAAAATGTTATTCACAAAAACAAATTTCTCAAGATGTTTCCTAGATTTGATGTCTGTCTTGCTGAGATTTTGCTTATTATTAAATCTCTTAAATTCATTGACAACAATAAGAATAACAGGTTTCTTAAGGCTTATGATGATATTTTTCTTACCGATTGAGGTGTTATTGTTTTTTTCCCCCTTTGTTATTGTATTTCAATGCAGTGTTGTTCAATTCAGTGCTGTTTCAACAACAATAGCCTTAATAAATTGTAAAACTTAAAAAAAAATTATAATTTTATTTATATATATGTGTATATATATATATATATATATATATATGAGAGAGAGAATTATTATGTTTAAACTAACAACCAAGCTGACAAAAATATTAACTTTTTATTGTGCTGTATAAGTATTGGAACACATTTCTTGAATCTTTCCCAACTTTTAATTATTTTAAGTTTAAATGTCTCATATTGAACAATCTTTTACAGCTGTTCATGCAGTAGGCAGTATGTTTATTTTTAAGCATGTATTGTTTATTTATTGTAATTTATAGTATGGCAATATTTTATTACAATATATGTTCACTTGTGTGTTTTGCATAAAACATACAGTTGACCCAAAAATGTAAATTGTCATTATTTACTCATGTTAAAATGAATCTCTTACATATACATTTGTTCATAATCAAGAAAAAAAGTTATATCACATGAAATAGATGTTTAGTGGATCTACTATTCTTCATTCATCAATTGTGTCTTATTGTGAAATATTAAGGAATTATTATCAAGTATTATGTGATATAAGCACTGTAAAAAATTATTTTATAAATAGATCCCAAATATGTGTTTAACAACATATTCTTGTTTCTTAATGATATTCATAATTATTTGCAGGACATGCATCTATATCAGCACCTTGGGCTGCTCATGGAGGACTCATCAGCCACTATGACAGTCTTGTCTGCTCCGGTTCACTGCAAGAGGATGATCAACAAAGAGCTGCACTTCGTCAGTTAGAACAGTTAAACAGAGTGATGACAGACTATACCAACATCCCGATCCTTCTCCCTCAACCTAAAGACTGTTTACATAGTCATCCCACCTCAGAACTGAAGAATAATACAAGTAAAGTAAACCTTTGCAGTCCTGAAGAAAAGATGTCAGATATTGACAGAGATGTTGACATCACACAAGAGGTATGGGTAACTGAGCAGTGCAATCTGTGAATGTTTACAGTGAAGAAAAAGCTTAGCAGTCCAACATTCAGTCAGACCCCAGTGCTTGCACTGTGCCATTGCCTAATTTGCTGTGGGACTGTTGTTTGTAGGTCAAAGCAGCCTCAGTCTGTTTGTGTTTGTTGGGGTGGAGAGTGGGAGGAAAGACCAGACCAAGCACTTGCTGGATCACAGCACGGCCCCCTTCTGAGTCAGGACACCCCACCTATCCCTCGCCTCAGTAATGAGGGGTCGCCATTGTCTGGGAAAGAGATTCCCAGCTCCACTTTTAATATGGGGAAATAAATATAAACATGTACAGCGATGTGCTCTTGTGTTGATTATTTAGGGCAAAAAGGGCGAAACACTTTGTGCGTAGGGTGAGTAAATTAATAAATGCATTCTTTTGATTTAAAAGTAAATCACTTATTATATTAAGCATAGTTATTATTTCCACAAAATGAATAAAAGTCATTGTTTATCTAAAGCATTACCAAGGCAAACAACAGTTCATTTGTGAAAGAGAGTGGAAAACAGAGCCTAAGAATGTTGGCATGTGAACTTTTTCCACTTGGCTGCGTCCTGTGAAAGTGTAGAGCATGACTCCACCTTGTGGACCCGTCCCTGACAGGGCCTTGGTCCGCTCTCTCTCAGTCTCTTTACTGTGTTTGTCCACTCTACCGTGACTGGACCACTGCCACCAGCCACAATAACGAGCTACAGAGAGTTCTGGAAGTCAGTGAGAAGTCACACACTGTCATCCAAGAACGCTGCGCCTCACTGCTCAAACAGCATTCACCCCACTGAAAAAAAAATACGGGCATAAGGATGTCGACTCTCTTGTCTTGTCCTGAATGATCAGTTGTCTGCAGCCACAGACAGTTCTGGACTGGCTCATCAAACACCTTGTACTCTGAAAGTTGAAAGTTGAGTGCTGTGAAAGTTGTGGACATTGTTTGGAAACTTTGAGTCAGTGGCACTTAATCGCATGCCAAGAGTTTCCTGGATATTTATTTTTGTTACAATTGGTGACAAAATCAAACCATAAGATGTCTTTATGATATAAGCTACGTAGGCTAAAATGTGCTGAAGCAAACCAGCTTATTACAGCGTTAAAGAAGATGGTAATATTTGAATTTATTTTACAGGTGTCCCCAAAGCCACATCCTCCCCACGGCTACTATATCCATGGTGATGTTGGTAAGCTTTTAAGTAAAAATTTTTTTAGCTATGGCAGCAAAATTATTAGTCATTTTAAACATGCATTTAAAGTTTAAAATTACTAATGTTTTAAAATGACTAATGTTTGGAGGGATTGGACTTTACATGGAGAGGCCAATTAATGCTTATTCTGTGTTTTGTTTCATAATCAATAGGCACTGGAAAAACAATGATGATGGATCTTTTTTACTCATTTGTGGAAAACAGAAGAAAAAGGAGGGTTCATTTCAATACATTCATGTTAGACGTACATAGAAGTAAGTTCTAACTAAACCAAAGTGGCCTGTTCTCGAGTAATTGTGGATACATAAATGGCCATATGTAAAATTAGTAATATTTTAAAATATTATTACAATTGAAACAAATTTTCAATATATGCTAAAATGTAATCTATTCCTGTGATAGCAAAGCTAAATTTAGATAAATATGAATATATATAAATGTTTTTAACATGTGATCAACTTAATGTGTCTTTGCTAAATAAGTGTTATTAATAAAAACTGATCCAAAACTTTTGAACAGTAGTGTATATTTACCTCATTCCATATGAATCCATTTAAAGTAGTACTATTTTGTAGTTGTACAAGTAGCGAACAAACATGCCTTTTATCATGCATGAATAGCAATTAAGGAAAATAACAGCATAAAGTAGAATAGATTCCTCTGAGTTCAAAATTTGATTTTGTCTAGGTTCTGAGAGCATTTGCACTTATTTCTATTGACTTTAATTTGTGCATTGCATTCAGGGATCCACAAACTGAAACAGAGCCTGCCAAAGCGACGGATAGGTAAAATGACAATGTATGACCCCATCTTTCCGGTTGCCATGGAGATCGCAGAGGAAACCTGTCTCCTATGCTTTGATGAGTTTCAGGTGAGGGCAGGAGTAGGGAAATTGGAAGGGTGAAGAGTTTGTAAAATTGTTGAGAAATTTCTAAGCTGCAATTTAATGCATATTTTCTGTGTGTTAGTGCATGAGTGAGGGGAATAATGTAAGCTGCAGAAATATAGTAAGAATTTATATGTTTATATTGATGTAGTAGTTCATCTGACTACAGTGTGGAATAGCTCTTCATAGATATAAGTCTTGTTCATTTTGGAGCCATCTAGTGGAGTGAGATACCTTCACACAGATCTGAAAACACATGCTGAGGCCACAGATAATCGAGATTAGAAAAAAGCTAGAATTAAACAGAAAATTGTATTCTTTTCGAGCCCAAAAAGATGAATAAAAAATTAAACATCAGATACATGTTTGCAGATTTAAATCAATCAATCAGCCCATTTCTTAATCAATAATCAATATTTTCCTTATTTAAATTGAAATGTTTACCTCAGACCTGATCGCTTTCATATATTTATTTAGTATGGGTTCTCATTATTGCCTGAAACCTCACCTCACCAATCGTTGCTCACGGCAATATGGAAAGCACACAGATTTTGTTTATGATGCATAAATGAGGAGCTGACAGCCCCTTACCAATCAGGAGCCACTGCCACTTAAGCATGCAAATGAGGCATCGAGTCGGCCCCTCTTGCTTCCTTGAGTGAGGCGTAATGGAGAGCGACTATGGCGGGTCGCATGCATCCATGCCTCTTAAATGCTAATGAAATTTCTCCATTCTCTTCATTAGTCCGGCATCATTATCAGTAATTTGTAGCCTTCCCCTTTTGTCCCTCTCCACTCCCTTAATGAATGCAAGGTATTGAGAGAAGGACCAAGAGAGATATAGAAAGAGGAAGAGCGAGCAGAAACCGCTTGAGGCATTGTCTCAGGCCCCAGTCAGTCGCCGGGTGAAATTACTCATCGACAGAGTTGTGTAAGTAAAGGTTTAAGATCAAAAGAGTGCAATTTGGCACCCGTGTGCGCCACACAAAAGTGACTCTGCTGGCGTAATTGGATGCTCATTTGAATATCCGTGTCGTTGTTTTCGCTGTCGTCCACAACAACGCCACACTGAGGGCTTTCTTGCACTCAACCTGGCAATCAATACCCAGAGACTGAAAGTGTGTGTGTGTGTATATACACACTCGCGCATGAGTGTCGCAGTGCCTGTGCGACAAACAAAAAACAAATACAGGACTGATGAAAAGGTCATAATTAAATGACTCCTTTGAAATGAAGAATAGAAGAGGATGGTTAAAGGAAATGTGATCCAATTTATGCCATAGCACCTCGTCTTTGTAACCGACCACCCTTCCGACAACACACACACACACGCCCTTGCCACACGTAAGGCCGCTATAGAAGACGCTAATTGGGTTTGATGGGGCCGAAGGTTTAATATGCAAAAAGGGAAACACTTCAATATAAGAAAACAACATATGCTGGGGGTATGGCAGTCATGAGTGTGTCCTTCTAAGAATAGTAGAGCTCAGTGAATGAGAAGATCTTCTACATGACAAAACCATCCTCGGCCCCAAATTTGGCTCCTCGTTGCCAGATATGCAAACGCTAATCAAGTATTAATGCGACGTAAGGAGAAACTATATATGCGTTTTGACTAAATGCATTTCAACCCTGAAAAAGTAGCAGAAACGTGGGAGAAGATGAGAGCGGACCATGGTCGATCTCATTGTGTGTTATTGACTAAAGGGCTCTTTTTGTCAGGGGAGGGTCAGCAGCCCCAGTGTTGCTGCAGATGTGTGTGAGGCAACAGCTCGCTGCTGTGAAAAAGGCAACGTTTAAATGATAATAATGAATGATGATGATGAAAATGATAATAATGAAAGAACCACTCATCCTCTCGCTTCTGAGATTCAGGGACAGCCATGCCAGGCCCTCAAGAGCACAATGGGAGCGCATCTGTGTGTGTGTATGTATTTGTCTGTGTGTGGCCATCTGGCTGTCATTGTGTCACTGATTTTACCTCAAAACGCTATTTATTTATTTATGTATTCAATTATTTACCTTTTTCAGGGCTTTGGCCACTTGTCCTTGTCTCTAGCAGAAAGCTGCGGCTCTGTGTGGCCATTTTACAGTCAGGTGGAGTGGCTTTGTGTCTGTCCTGGGTCTGTGTGTGAGCGCGTTGGGGAGGGTGATGTCAAAGGACCTTGGCCGAGGCTTTGGTTTTAAAATGCAACAACACCTGGTTTTCGCTCATTCATTCGCATGTACACGCATGCACAAGTACACATGCATGCACACAATTGTGGTAATTAGCTCAAGGCAGAGGAAGGCCAAAGGGGAGAGAGTTGCGCCTCGCTCATCTCCAGCTAATACACCTGTGCTCGCTCCTATAGTGCCTTGACTGTCCTGCCTAGAGGACAGAACTCAAACAACAGAAGCTATAGGTTGCTTTATAGGCAACATGAAATGAAAACCAACCTATTTATTGCATTAATACACATTCATTTGTTTTATTACAGTTTGCCAAAAATTCAGTTGAATTTGAGCTATTCCTATGAACTTAGCTGATGGTATGCTGTATTTTACATGTGCAGGAAAAAGGAAATAGCTGATGCAGAATATGGGTTGCTATAATAAATTTTTTCGTCAGAGTACAATGAACAATAATCGTCTTTTTTTTTTTTCTTCAGGTGGTGGATATAGCCGATGCTGTGATTCTGAAGCAGTTATTTGAGGGTTTGTTCAAGTGTGGGGTCGTGGTTGTGGCAACCTCAAATCGACCACCTGAAGGTAGGGAGATGTCTGGGTAATGTTGAAGCCATTTATGTGATTAACAGAAACTGGTGTTCAAATGTCCAGGTCCATGTAGAAAATGCGATTTTTCAATCTTATTATTGAACCCTGGAAATAAACTGAAACTTTAAGTAAATTTGAGTAAACATGTGCCTGTCATTACTACATAATCTTCATATTTTCACTTTTTTAAATTTTAATTATGTAACTTTTTTAATTAATTGATTTATTTTAAAGAAATTCAAATTATAAAAATTTAAAATAGAAGTATTTCTCAGGTGTACTTGTTTAGCTGTAACTTTTGGGGAAAACTTTTTTTTGAAGAAGAAGAAGAAATTAGTACTTTTAATCAGCAAGGATGCATTAAATTGATCAAGAGGGATAGTGAATACTTTTATATTGTTACATTAAAAAAATCCTGAAGATTTCTGAAGGATCTTATGACAATAAAGACTGGAGTAATGGCTGGAAATTCAGTTTTGCCATCACAGGAACAAATTGCATAAAGAAAATAAAATACAAATCAGTTCTTTTAAATTGTAATAATATTTCATAATATTACCGTTCTATTGTATTTTTATCAAATAAATGCACCCTTTGAAAGAGACTTCTTTCAAAAACAGGTTTTTATAATTCATAACACTTTTTGCAAAAACAAAAACAAATCTGACAATAAAAGCAATTTATTCCTTTCATTTCCTCCATCAATTTCCAGGGTTAAGTGTGTGTTTTCTGATACTGACCTGTCACCTACACAGCACACATGACTCTTGTACATTTTCACCTTGTATTGTTCGCTACCAACTTCCCAACAATAGACCACCATACCTTTCTCATTCTCCTCATTCTTTTCTGTGGCCTGAAAGTAAAACATGTTCCTAAACTTCATGTCCGTCTCGTGTTCTAATCCAGTTCTGCACCATCTCGTGTGTCAGGATCTTATTTCTTCTTTTTCACTCTTTTCTAAAGTTCACCTCCCCTTTAAGTCACTCTTTGGTTAATCGCTGTATTTTGATGCCATGATGTTTGAGGTCTATTGATAATCTGCGTAAAGTCTCTCACTCCTTTTCTGCTTTTTATTGCTCTCTTCCTTTCTTACATACACTCAAACACCTGCCATTGGTTGCTTCTCTGTGGTGGTGGATTTCATGAAACTAATCTGAGGAGTGTTATTTAGGCCCGAAATACAATGACGACTGCATCCATCTGAACTTTAAACCCTTAGTTCTTCAGTAATTTCCTATGTGCTTTTTGGTGTAGCTTGAGGAATGATTCACCCCAAAATGAAAATGATAATTATTTACTTACCTGTATGACTTTTTTGCTTCTGTGGAACACAAAGGCAGTTATCTAGAAGAATGTCTAAGCTGTTGAATGGTGACCAAAGCTGTCAAAGGAAAAAAGCAGCTTGGACATTCTTTTAAATATCTAATTTTGTGTTCCATAGAAGTAAGAAAATCATACAGGTTTAAAATTATGTGGGTGACGTGTTTGGATGAACTATCACTTTAAATCATGTGGAAACTTCAACCTCGCCGCCATCAAAGATTTCTCGCCTATACGCCCGTTCATCATAAAACGAGGCAACTTTATTTGATACCCGCTTGAACGTGAGCAGTTAGTCTTTTATCTCTCTCCACCGTTCCCACTCTTGTCTTCCTCTGCCTCATTGTTGATTCAACAGATGCCGTTTTTTGCAATTGCTGTGATGTTACATTAAACTGGAGAGGGAGAGTGATAAGGGTAGAGATAAGACACTCCTTCTGCCTTTCTCTTCTCTGTCTCTGTCTTGGAGCGCTGCTAATGTCTCGTTGTATGAAGTGGCCTTGTGTGCCGAGTACAAAACGGTGAGCGGCAGTTACATAAAGAAACCCTCTCCTAACATTAACCAGCCACAGAGAACAAAGCCTACGCTAAAACTTAATAGCCATCTTATTCCATTTTAATTAGGTGACTAATGGATAGACGGGTACACATGAAAGATGGGAGGGGGAGAGATGGCATCGAAAGAGATTGCTCGATTATTGATATAAAGATGCTGAAATGAAGAGCCACTAAAGAGGCTTGTTTGAACTTGGATATTTGTGGTCGCCCAAAACCGTTTCTTCAGGTAAAGCGAGGGAAATGGATGGACAAATGTGAAAGAGGGTGCACTTCACTAACTAAATCTTTAAATAACCCTTTAGTTATGCACAGGGCCTAAAATTAACACTCGCCAAGTGCCAAGTGCCAAATGCGAGTAAAAATCAGTCCATGTAACCGTGTCAGTCGCCAGTTGGCGGGTACAACTTTTACGAATTATAACAATGCAATGGAGTGAAATCAACAGACAGTTTTTTTAAAAGAGATTAGCTGTTTCTGACATAAACGAATTAATCAATCTTTTCTGAAGACAAGATCATTGTGATTAGCTGTTCTGTCATAAGCGACAAGAGTGAATCAAATAATAGGATACAAACGGACTGATAAGGTCAGAGCAGTGTGATGGCCAGCTTGTCCCTAGACACGGTTCTAATAACTTTTACCTGAGAAGATTGTGCTGCGGAAGATTAACTTTTCCCTTCTTTATTCTTCATAACCCGAGAATGCGGCAACACGTGCCTGGGGTTACGCCGCCCGGTGCAGTGAAATATAGTTTGAAAGGCTGAGTGTTTGGCTGTACACATACGCTGAGCGTAGCGCTTCAATGCACGAAAACGCACACAATTGTCAAAATGCGCGGTTTTGGCGAGTTACCTTGTAAACGGAGTCTTAAATGAGTTATAAATGACCGTAAAGAGTTGGGAGAAAATATGTGTCAGATCCGCGTCATATGCATCAGGTTTTCAAGAGACGGCACTGATTTTAAAGTGAAACCTGCTGAAGTCTGTCATTGATGTATATCAAAGAACAAAAGAATAAAAGAAATCCTTGGACTGTTGTAGTCGCTGATTAACTTTTATATCTTGAATAAAGATTAATATGTATAGTTTATGCATATATAATATAGTTTATGTGAAGATTGTTTTAAAATCTCTTAAATTAAAAGTTGTTATTTCAGAGCCTATTAAATGTTAAAAATAATGGCTTTCAATTATACTGTAATGTTGAATGGCTATAATTAATAGGTAAAATTGAGGGAAAATGCACCAGGAGGACAAATTAAAAACATTGTAAATATGTTTAGTTATTGTAGTAGTAATAAATGCCTGTATTTGCAAAAAGAGTTTCATTTGATCATGTCACCGGCCATTGGCAGGTTAGTTTTAAAAGTTAGTTTTAGGCCCTGGTTATGCACCAGGATAATATGATTAAACTGCTAAAAAAGTGTAGAATTCATTCAGAGCCATCTGTATCTGTCTGTTTTTTTTAATAATATAAATGTATTTGGAATATTTAATGACCTACAGCAGATAATTGAGAATCATCAAAGATATAACCTAGGAAAAGATTAATTAGAAATATTTTAATGATGTTTAAACTGTATTTAAAATGTCTGAAAATAAAAATGATGACAAAATGTTTCTTTTTTGCAGATTCATCTTTAAAGTAGTGGTGCTTAAACGTTTTGATTTCAGGGCCAATATTGAAAAACTCCATGATTTTTCCAGTTGTTCATAATTTTCTGGACAAACCTTAAGAATAACAATTGTAAAAAAATATATTTGACTTTCAAAAATGTTTAATTTAAAAATAAGCTGCAAGATAATCTTGTTTTGAACTTTTGCTACTTCCTGATGTCTAATAAGTAACACTTAAGTGACTGCCCACATTTACACTTTGTGTTACAAAGTAAAGGGGCCTTGTATATTTAAGTCTGAATGTACAGTCCGGGCCGGATTTACGCATAGGCATTCTAGGCACGTCCCTATGCTCACTCGTCCAGGGGGGCCCAAGCATAATGAAGAGATATATAATATTTTTGTTATACTATGGGCTATCTACAACAGTAAAAGAACCAAAACCCCAGAAGACATTGAGCAAATAAATATAACAAACACTAGGGTAAAAAATGACAAACTATTTCCATGTCTTCCACCTTTTTTTATGTAGGCTACAGAAATAACGCTTTCTTTCTCTCGTTCTCTCTCACAGATGCACACACAGTACAGACACGCACTCGCGCATACACGTAGACAGAAACTTGTCAACGCCGCCACGTGAATTTATCAGTAAAATAGTTTTGCAGCTAAAAAGCTACATGACTTTTCTCAGTAGCAAGGTTCTTGAAGCAGTTTAACTTAAAGATTCACTATTAGTAGACGCTGCTGCTGAACACTGCTGAGAGACGCACGTATTCACACGTGCTTAAGCTCTCTCTCTCTCTCTCTCTCTCACTCTAAGTGCGTTAGACTGCATTAATAACTGCATTAGCCTGCATATCAATGGCTCAAGCCTCTGTTATTAGCTCTAAAATTACGTTTTGGAATTTGCAACGGAAGGTTTATCTTGAAACAAATCATCTGAACAATATCTTGAGGTGTGGTTGTGACACCGGGCCGTTAAAATTATTAGAGAAATAATGCAATCGAAGTGTTAATGTGGCCACGACGCTGGAGCCAATAAATGGAATAGTCTTTCTCCATATTCTCAAACAAATTAAGACATTTGATTTTATTGACTGAATGCATGCGCTTATTGCGATAGAAAACACTGTAACGGTTTCCACTGATTACGAAATATTTTGTTTGCTGGGGCCTATTAATAAGGAAGGGTGGGCCCAAAAATTGTTTTGCCTATGTCACGATAAGAGGTAAATCTGGCCCTGTTCGTCTGAAAGAAGAAAGTCATATACACCTAGGATGATTGGGTGAGTAAAACACTGGCTAATTTTCATTTTTGGGTGAACTAACCCTTTAAAACTGTAAAACCCTTTAGCTAATCTTGATGTTTACATAATTGACGTAAACTAGTCCACTCACCATTTGGCGAAATTCAACAGAGGATGCACAGTTTCATAATAAATTTAATTGAGAATTGCTAATTAAGAAATTTAAAACATTCTAACATAAAACTAAATTCCTTCTCTGCAGATTATTTTGCACTAAATGAGAGTTTCTTAACTTCCTGACCAAAAAAAAAAAAAAAAAAAAAAAAAAGTATTATTGAGCCCTGAAAAGAACATAAAAAACGAATCATAGGAACAGTGTGAAAGTCAAGAACACTGAAGCTTTCAACCAAACCAAACCAATGACAGAAAAATAATTAGTAAGATGGTGCAGTCTTTAACATGCTTTATAAGGCTCAGGCTAATAATAATTTCCATCAATGGACAGTCTCATTATATTAGAGGTCTTATTTTCAAAAAGTGTTGAATATTTGCAGAGCGAGCCGCTTCATCCATGATGACTTTTGAACAACGAGAGGGAATTACATTGACTTTGATGGAAATAGCGCTTTAAATGTTGGAACATAAGCCGCAGCTCAGCTTTGATTAAGAACGGATCTCCATGTCAGACGTTCTGTTTGTTCGCCATGGACGCAATTAACTCTACATGACTACCTTTGTATTTCACCACGTTCTGCTGGCTGCTGACCGTGCTTTTAAAAACCGAACATGACGCAAGGCCTTTAAATCATAATTGGCCAGTTGCAGCTTGCCTGCCAGGAGAACCTTTGAAACTTTCTAAAGAAACTAAGTTTCAGCGGGTTTTTCAGACAGTCAATGAAACATGAGGAATAAGCAGGAAAATTGCCATGTCCACAATCCAGACACAGATCAGCATCATTTATAGATCTATTTATAGACCTTAATCAGGTTAGACACTAGGGCTGGGTTCAAAATTATCGATATCTCGATATTAATCGATTCTCATTTTTACAGAGCGATATCGATTCTTTAAATCCCAAGTAGTGTTGTCAAAAGACCTGGTACTTCGGTACCGAGTCGGTACTAAAAAAAAATGAAAACGTTACGGTACCAGGTTTTTTTTTTTACCAGGAGTACCCGGTCAACCCGGTTCTTGATGCTTTTTTTTTCTTTTAGCTAACTTAGTTGTTATTCTTGGCTGAATAACTAGGTTTTCAAAAGCCCTTTAAAATTAAATGTACACAGTTTGGATTAAATGAAAGTATAGTCAAATTTTTTAATTAGCATGTTTTTGTGTTTTGCTTTGGTACCGAAATTGGAACCGAGAACCGTGGATTTTCACTGGTATTGGTAACGAATACTGAAATTTTGGTACCGTGACAACACTAACCCCAAGAATCGATTAGTCTAGCCTGTGTTCAGTTAATGGAAGGAACATTGAAGGGCAATTCCCATCCAATAAATTGCAATAAGCATTGTACTTTGGTACTTTTCCATATGAAACAGTCTCCGATTTCAAATGCTGTCCATTGTATTGCACTTTTTAAACAATAAATGCCGTTTAATGTGAAGTGATCAGATCGCTGACGAGGCTCACGTGAACTGATCATCTCCACATTAACACCAGTTTCAGGACAAAATAAACATGACTAAACTCCCGAGGTAAGTTAAAAGAAAGAGTACAACTTTACAATCCGTATCCTGTCGCACGTGACGTTAATCGCTCAATCAGTGTTTCCTCCACGCAAAGACGTCAATATAACAGCTTGTAAACAATATGTCACGTAACGTCACCTCAGAAAAAAACATATTCGGTGACCATAAACTTTTAGTTATTGTAGTAGTAATAAATGCCTGTATTTGCAAAAAGAGTTTCATTTTGATCATGTCACCGGCCATTGGCAGGTCTGGCAAAAAGTTAGTTTTAGGCCCTGGTTATGCACCAGGATAATATGATTAAACTGCTAAAAAAGTGTAGAATTCATTCAGAGCCATCTGTATCTGTCTGTTTTTTTAAATAATATAAATGTATTTGGAATATTTAATGACCTACAGCAGATAATTGAGAATCATCAAAGATATAACCTAGGAAAAGATTAATTAGAAATATTTTAATGATGTTTAAACTGTATTTAAAATGTCTGAAAATAAAAATGATGACAAAATGTTTCTTTTTTGCAGATTCATCTTTAAAGTAGTGGTGCTTAAACGTTTTGATTTCAGGGCCAATATTGAAAAACTCCATGATTTTTCCAGTTGTTCATAATTTTCTGGACAAACCTTAAGAATAACAATTGTAAAAAAATATATTTGACTTTCAAAAATGTTTAATTTAAAAATAAGCTGCAAGATAATCTTGTTTTGAACTTTTGCTACTTCCTGATGTCTAATAAGTAACACTTAAGTGACTGCCCACATTTACACTTTGTGTTACAAAGTAAAGGGGCCTTGTATATTTAAGTCTGAATGTACAGTCCGGGCCGGATTTACGCATAGGCATTCTAGGCACGTCCCTATGCTCACTCGTCCAGGGGGGCCCAAGCATAATGAAGAGATATATAATATTTTTGTTATACTATGGGCTATCTACAACAGTAAAAGAACCAAAACCCCAGAAGACATTGAGCAAATAAATATAACAAACACTAGGGTAAAAAATGACAAACTATTTCCATGTCTTCCACCTTTTTTTATGTAGGCTACAGAAATAACGCTTTCTTTCTCTCGTTCTCTCTCACAGATGCACACACAGTACAGACACGCACTCGCGCATACACGTAGACAGAAACTTGTCAACGCCGCCACGTGAATTTATCAGTAAAATAGTTTTGCAGCTAAAAAGCTACATGACTTTTCTCAGTAGCAAGGTTCTTGAAGCAGTTTAACTTAAAGATTCACTATTAGTAGACGCTGCTGCTGAACACTGCTGAGAGACGCACGTATTCACACGTGCTTAAGCTCTCTCTCTCTCTCTCTCTCTCACTCTAAGTGCGTTAGACTGCATTAATAACTGCATTAGCCTGCATATCAATGGCTCAAGCCTCTGTTATTAGCTCTAAAATTACGTTATGGAATTTGCAACTGAAGGTTTATTTAAAAACGTAAAAAATGAGTTCAACAACCACAAGATTTCAGGACAGAAACATGACAAATGTCTTGAAATAAATCATCTTAAAAATGTCTTGACTCCAGGCCGTTAAAATTATTAGAGAGATAATGCACTCCTGAAGTTGTTATGTGGCCACGACGCTGCACCTATTAATGGAGTGGTCTTTCTCAGTTCTCAAACTACATTCGATTTTTATTGATTGAACGCAAGCGCTTATTGCGATAGAAAACACTGTAATGGTTTCCACTGATTAAGAAATATTTTTGTTTGCTTGGGTGGTAGCTAATGTTAGGCCTATTATATTAATATGGAAGGGGGGCCCAAAAATTTGTTTTGCCTATGTCACGAAAAGAGGTAAATCCGGCCCTGTGTACAGTGGCCAAAAATAGCCCTTATAAAAATAGCGACCAAAAATGGCCATGAAAAACAAACCACTTATACTTTGACTTACTGTTTTGGTACAAACATTATAAGTGGATGTTAAGGAAAAAGAGTATATAGGATCCCTTAATATATCTCTCAGTGTGATTCTCATAAGTGGCCTCCAGATGCCTATGGAAAGGCTTTATCTGTTCTTTTGTAGTAAGATCCCTATAGCATGCTTTCATTTCTTGGGTGAGAACTGGCCGAACATGTTTCACTGGACTGTTTATAGCTCAACATGCCTCTGTTATGACAGTTCTGTTTCCTTTATATTTTCTTACCCACGGCAGCTTTAAACAAGCTTTTACAGCACAGAGAGAAGCATATACTCATCATGGTCTCTTTACATCTGTGTGTGTGTGTGGTTTATCATGCCCGTGTGGCTAATTGAAGTCTCCATTCACCATGATGCAGGTTTATTGTCTGTGCAGAAAGAGAGAGACTTCTTCTCTTGAGCTCATTGTTTGGGAATGTAATGAATTTCATGTACTGCCTTTCTCCTGCGCTGCCCACAGAAATCAATTTCTGCCTCTCCTCGTCCCTTTTGTCCCTCCTCCCCTCCCGTCCCTCACTTCATCAATAGACACTTTATTTGCCAATCATAGATGGAAAATGACATTATGAGGAGGCTAAAGAGTGAATCTAACCAGCATCTCTCCCTCTCGTGCTCTCTCTCTCAGAACTGTACAAAAACGGGCTTCAGAGGACTGCTTTTGTGCCTTTCATTGGCGTACTCAAGGTAAAGACAAAGTCATTCTCTCAGTTAATTTATTTATCCTTTCATTCTATCTCCATCTCTCTCTCTCTCTTCATGTTTCCTCCTCTGCTCTGTCTGGTTTTTGATGTATTTTATTCACAGGTAAAAATACACAACCCCATATGTGTTTGCAATAATGCACAAAACAGAAAAAAGGCAGCTTTGATCATACCTGGAGATGAGAGCAACAGACTGAGAGAGAGTGTGACAGACATGGAGGCCGTTTAATGACTGGCGTGGGTTGGCTGGAATGAGACGGCATTGCGTGAAGCTGCTTGCATTTCAAAGTGTGCCCGGCCATGGACGCCAGCAATGCTCTGATCTGCTTTGCAAGTTAATTGTATTATTTTAAGCAGGTATTGGCATTATCCTGTGTGCTGTCTGGGTAATTACCATCATCCTGCGACAGCTTTCCATCATAAATAATCAGACCATCATTTTCAGGCATTTTACAGCAGGCCACATTCTTGCACATTTGATTGGTATATCAACACACCGAGGTCAATGCATTTTTAACATTGATTGGCTTGTTCTGTAGTTAAATATTGAGCATGCTGTTCAAGAAATAGTTCATCCTAAAAAGAAAATTTGCTGAAAATGTACCCACTCTCGGGTCATCCAAGATGTTGATGAATTTTCTTCTTCTTCATCAGAAAAGATATGGAGAAATTTAGCATTACATCCAAATCTGTTTAAATGAAGAAACAAACTCATCCACATCTTGGATGGCCTGATGTTTGAGTATTTTCAGCAAATTTTCTTTTTTGGGTCACAATTGTACGGGGAGCGCTAACGGCAATACAAACCAGTCATTCTTTACATGTTTCTTTTCGCTCCGTGATCTTAAAGAGCGACATAATAAGAGGATGCTTTGATGACTGGCAATACAATGTCTTTCTAATCCACATTATATCCTGGTATTCCTCATAGTTAAAGGACCCCCCCTCTGTAGAATGTGCTAAAAATAAAAGCTGCTAGACGCTTCATTCAGGTTGTGATTTTTCTTAGTTTGACCCCTGGGTCTTTTATAGTCAGTGGCCCAGCACAGTCACTCTGGGTCAGACCGTCTCTGTCAAATCCCTGGGGTCCTTAAAGTCACCCTCTATTCTGGCCTGTGTTAATCTTGCCTGGTAAGAGTGCTGAATACATCTCGCCCTGCGTTGCACCTTTAACGTTTGAGCTTCTTTGTTAGGCCATCTGGTTTTGAGGCAACCCAGGATCCCAGTTCAGGGTAACTAGGGTGGCCCAAGTGCCTCCTCTCATGCCTGGTCAACCCTAATAATGTGTGACAGACTCACTGAAATGCACTCACTGGCTCTTGACTGTTCTCTTTCTATATATCTTAATCTCTCTTCAGGGTGGTAATGTTTATTTGCCTATAAGATATTATTAAAATTATTATTATTATTGTTATTAGGGCTGTCAGTTCAACATTTTAATTCAGTATGAATAATCATGTAAAAATGATTTTAAAATATTGAAATATTTCTATTACAATTATTTTTTAATTATACACTACGTTATGTTTTTTTTAAAGTAATCTATTCAGCAAGGATTCATTAAATTGATCAAAAGTTATAGTAATGTTATAAAATATTTATATTTCATATAAATTAAATCTATTTTCTATTCATCAAAGAATCCTGAAAAAAATGGTTTCCACAAAAACATATAGCAGCACAAATGTTTTCAGCATTAATAATAATAATATGATGAAATTTATTGCCATTGCATTAACAAAATATATTTAAAAAATATATTAAAATAAAAAAATATTTGTTTTAGTTATTTTAAATTCTAATAATATTAATACCGTTTTACTGTATTTCTTATCAAATAAAATGCAGCCTTTATGAGCAAGAGACTTGTTTTTAAAAAAAAGAAAAGAAAACTGATGTATATTTAATAGATTATGTAAACAATATATTTTTAAAGCCAATTGTCGATTCAGTGCTTTTGTCTAATGTAATGTCTTTGAATGAATGTTGATATATGTGATCAATCTGATTCATTAATTTTGATTTGGCAGCCATAATTATACATATTAAGTAAGGTCAGAATCCCTTATTGATTTTCAAGTTTTAAGTAACTTGTCTGCAGGGCCGTTTCTAGGCATAGGCGAGCTAGGCGGAAGGGGCGCCAATGAGCGCACGTACTGCCACTTTTAGCAGGGTTGTGATAAAGAGTGGCACGGTCACCCTGAAATATGACTGCCGCCCCCACTGGATCCCCCAACATTATTGGGCTAGGGTACTGTCAATCTGACGATGCCTGCATGCCACTGGATCAGAGTGCTGTCAATTGCTGCCTGATTGCTGCATTTGGAGCGTTCAACAACGCCATTAGATCAGTGGGCTCTGTCAGTGCTTTGGCAAGGTAACACTTTTTTTTTTGCCATGCAATAAAGCTAAGTTCAAAGGCTAATTTAAAATATTGGTACAGTAAATAAAGTGCACAAAATCAGTATTTTGTTTAGGCAGTATTTGTGGCACTTGATAAATCATGTTGCGAGATTTGTCCAAAAGGTGTGCGTTTTTTTGCGCCAATGCATTGTTAAATGATCAGCGTGTCATGTGATATTATATTCCCATATAAACTTTAACATCCAATTAAAAAATATTTGTATAGTAAAATTAGCTAATTCACGAGATCAGTACATCCTTTATTAGACCGCTTTGTCGAGTTAAATGCATCCTTACGGAGGTGTCGAAATGCTGAATCAATTCATTCACTTCCAACAGCACTTAATGGGAGCAGCGTCATAGAGGGCAGAGCGTCACGTTATTTAAAGG